GCAGTTTGGAGGGGGGGCTGAAAGCTTTATCCCCCCTCACTCCCAGGGTCTCTTGGGCTTTCAAAAGGTTTGCAATGGGCCCTGGGAGTGCTTTCAGTCACCATAGGCCTGGGGAGGCTCCCACCCATACCTCCCCAGTTTGGGGCCTGGAGTCCTTCAGAGGCTGACCTTTGAGAAGGGACAGGAAGGGGGGCAGCTTGCATTCCCCAGGCGGAAGGGTATGTCTCCAGGGGCCCTGCCCTGACCCAGCCAAGGGGCCCTCTCCCCACTTCTGTAGGGCAGGAAATGCTGTGTGACCGTGGGCAAAATGCTTAACTCCTCTGAACCCAAGTGGCTGCAGTTCTACAAATTCCTGAGCATCCCTTGTGTGATGGCTTGTGCTAGCCCCAGGGACGGCAGTGACCCGCAAAGACCAGACCCTTCCTCTTGGGTCCTGTCAGGCCTGGAGTGGGGGCAGATGATCCAGACAGACCAGAGTCAAGGGGCCCCCAGAGAACTACTCCTCTCTTCTCTACTCAGTCCCTGCAGAGTCCTCCTCCTTCCCTATCCTTTGATGTGTCCCCTCTGCCCTGTAAACTAGGCCTCCATTTCCCCTTCTCCTCCCTGCTCTGTGGGCCCCAAAGGCAGACAGGCCTGGGACTTGGAACCGACCAGAGGAAGTGGCCTGTCAGCCTGCCCCCTGCCAGCTCTGGCCTGCCACCAGCATCTCCGCCCTTGGCTGACATGGGAACTCCCCTCTCTGGCACCCTGTCATCTCCTCTCCTCCGTCTGAAGTCAGGAGCCTTAGGACCCCACCCCAGTAGTCCTCCTCTTCATTTCCCTCCCTATTGGAGGAGGAGGGGATTGGTGTGTGCAGCAGCTTCAGGGAGGAGCCTTCTGGAAGGGAGGTTCATCTTGAAGCTGCCAGTTGGTTTTTAGGTGTCTTGGATAGAGCTGGGGGTCTAGCTTATCTGCCCCACCGGCCTACCAGGATGGGCCTAGAGTTAGGGACTCTGCCCCTACTAGTCTGAGGTTAGATTCAGATGGAAGGAACAAGCCTGTGCCAATGGATGAGGCACATGCCCACTGGAGCCCTGGGTTGTTGGCATTTTCAGACCCCCAGATCCTCGGGCTTGGGACTGACTCCTTAGGAACTGGGAATCCTGGGCTGTGGGTTCAGCCTGGCAGGGCCCTGATCGCCTCCAGCGTCTTGGGTGCAGCAAAGAGGCAAAGCCCATCCTGAGAGCCACGTAGCGCATCTGAGGAGGAGGCCAAGTCAGGGTTGCTAATCGTGGGTGGGGACAGGGGCAGCTGCTCGTCACCTAGAGGACCCTCCGGGCATCCTCACCTGCATGGGTAGAAGGTCAGATGGTCCAGGTTCCTTGTGCAGTGGAGTGGGCTGCTTTTGGAAAGGAGAGGACACTCAAGCAGGAAGTGACCTGACCTGGTTTTCATGGTATTCCCCACCCCTGCAGAGCTCTGTAGCGGCCCCTAGTCCAGTGATGGGGAGCATGGCCCCCAACGACGCAATGGCAGCAGGCCCCATGGCACCCGGCTTCTTCCAGGTACAGCCAGGGCTGGTGCCCCCTGTTCTGCAACTCTTGAGTGGTTATGTCAGGGTGACAGGTGCGGGCACTGATGGGGTTGGGGGTCTCATGTGGGGAGAGGCCCTGGCAGGCTGGAATTGGGTGGGAGGGTGGTCAGTGCGTGGGTTTTTGCATCTGGGTTTTGGTGTAGCCAGCGGGGGAGGGGCCGCTTGAGCTGGGTCCCAGGCGGGGTCTCTGTGCAGTTGGTCTGTGCGTGCCAGGTTGCTAAGAGCCTTAGAGCATGGCTCTCTGAGCCGTGGGTCTTGCCCCTGACTGTTTCCGTAGAGCCCCTCACCCCAAACCCCCGTCTTGCCTTAGGGGGAGTGCAGGACTGGCCCACCCTCCCGCCTCCATGGCATCCCCTCCCCCCTCCCTGGCCACGCCCAGCAAGGCCACAGAAAGCAGTGAAGCTTCGGTGGACCTCGCTCTTCCCAACCCACCTGGTTCTGTCCTCCTAGGGCCCCCCCGACTCCCAGCAGCCCCCCCACAACCCCAACGCCCCCATGATGGGGCCTCACGTTCAGGTAAGGACCTGTGACGCCCTGCCCCTTCACCACACGCACGTCCCAGCAACTCGAGCCCCAGGCCCCACCGCACTCACGCGCCGCGCTGGGCACTGGCTGGCTGCGGTCTGCTGACTGGTCCTGGAAGAGGGGGCTGTCCAGGCTGGGGGCCGGGGCGCCGCAGGAACGGGGTAGCTTGGGGGGGGGGGGCGAACGGGCGGTGGGAGGTGCTGATCCCCGGCCCACCTCTTCCAGCCCTTCATGTCACCGCGGTTCCCAGGGGGCCCCCGGCCCGCCCTGCGGATGCCGAGTCAGGTGAGAGAGGGATGAGGGGAGGGGGGGCAGGAGTTGGGCCAGGGTGGTGGTGCCCTCGCTCACTGCTGCCACGCCCCCTCCGCAGCCTCCGGTGGGCCTCCCCGGCTCCCAGCCCCTCCTCCCTGGAGCCATGGAACCCTCCCCGCGTGCTCAGGGTGAGTAGGGAAGCTCCAGCTTATGCCTCCCCCTCCACTCATCGGGACCTCGGCTCGGAATGCCTCCTCCCTGCTGTCTCACGGTGCAGAACCACCCCCATCCAGCCCATGTCCACCCGGGGGAGTGTTACCGGCCTGAGCCCCCCTCCTTCTGTCCCCACCTCAGGGCATCCGAGCATGGGCCCAATGCAGAGGGTGACACCTCCACGGGGCATGGCCGGCGTTGGACCCCAGGTGAGGGCAGGGTCCGGGAGAGGGGGTACGCCTCAGGGCCTTCCCCCCACACCTTGGCCACTCACAGCCCTTTTGCTTCCCCAGAGCTATGGAGGTGGCATGCGGCCCCCACCCAACTCTCTCACCGGCCCGGGCCTGCCCGCCATGAACATGTAAGGCCCTGGGAGAACCCCTGGAGTGTGTCCACGTGGGCCATCACCCAGCTTCACGGGCTGGGTGGGCCGGGGCAGGCTCAGTCTGCACTGGCCATTGTTAATGCTCTGGATATCATTTACTCTGCTGTCAGGTGGGGAAACCGAGGCCCAAAGGCCAGTGAGGGATGAAGGCTGACCCAGCCAACGTCTGCTGCGCTGAGGGCCTGTTTGGGAGCACACGGGGCAGCAGGGTGGGGGGTGACAGTGCGTAGTGGGGGGCCGTGTACCACCCGGCCTCACCCCGGGGTCCACCACTGTCTCTTCTAGGGGCCCTGGAGTGCGAGGCCCATGGGCCAGCCCCAGCGGAAACTCGGTGAGTGGTGGCCCGGAGGGCCGGGGGAAGATGGTAGTGGTCTGTGAGGGGTAGAGCGGGCCGACCGCTCATAGCTGCCCTTCTCCCCAGATCCCCTATTCCTCCTCCTCCCCCGGCAGCTACACGGTGAGTGGGGCCCAGCGGGGCGTGGCTGTGCCGCTCAAGCCTGGGGGGAGGGGTTGTGGGTGGCAGATGTGTGTGTGTGTGGGGGGGGGG